GTTTTATAGGGTAATACATATTATATGTAGCATATGTAGTGTTAGAAAATGTGTGTGTATGTGTAAAAGAGTGTGTGTGTCATTATAGAGATGTGTTTACATCTTTCTAGTTGCCAATGCAGTAATACAGCAAATGGCTCTTGTGCCTTCATGAATTCCTTTTAAAAGCATTTATCTTTTTATAATTATGGATAAATATTTAGAAAACAGAAAATTATAAAGAAGGAAACAGTAGTCCATATTGCAGTGCAGTAGATAACTGGGTTGTTGTTGTTGTTGTTGTTGTTTTCTGTGCAGACATCTGCACATATGCAGATAGATGGGGTGGGGTTGTGGGGCAGGTAGGTAACAGATAGATGGGTAGGTGTCTGAGTATGTATACAGTGTATATGTTATAGAATTGAAATATACTGTACACATAAGCTATTATGCTTCACGTTATATTCTCACATGAGAAGTCTTTATGTTCATACTATTTTATATAAGTCTATGATTTTCAATAAATGAAAAAGTACAAAACAGCATATATATAAGCATAACTAACCTAACAAACACCACTTGATAAGCTAAATTTGTCTTCTGGGTTATATTAATAAAAGTCAGCATTTTGTATATGTACCAATAAATTCAGTATTTATCACTTTTCCTACTCTGTTAATCCCCCAAAGATCATATTTCTGCCTCCGAAAAATTAGCTGCCTTCTAACCAGAGACATAACTAAATGCAGAATTCTATTACCAAGTGGTCATTCATGAACCTGTGAGCCTAAGACTTAGTCAGTTGTAGGGATTTTCACTGCCACTCCTTTCTGGTAGTTGAGAACATACCCGCAGGCAACATTGCAGTTCCAAATACTTTCTGAACCCTACTTGCCTTAAACTTCACTGTTCTTGGCAATTGTTAATTCAGGGCAGTGGTTTTCAACTGGAGGCGATTTTGAGCCCAGGAGACTTTTGGCAATGTCTGAAGGCATTCTGGGTTGTCGTAACTGGGGAAGGAGGTACTACTGGTATCTCGTGGGTAGTAGCCAAGGATTCTGCCGACTATGCTTTAATGCATAGGACAGTCCACAACAAAGCATTGTCAGACCCAAATATCAGACCCAGAAAGCTTTAGTTGTGGACCCTGAAAGACTGATCCTGGGAACATGCTAGAGCATGAGGTCTAGACATACACACTAGGGGCATGTAGGCATCCATCATGGGCCTGGATCTAGGAGCTCATGGACTTTGTATCTAGAGGCATGGCCTCTAGTAGCAAAGAATAAGAAATAATGAAAAGACAAAAAAATGAATGAAATTCACAAGATTTCCTTTATTATGCCAGGCTTGCATCTGGATTTTTGCCCCCCTCTGGATAATTGTAAGTAGAAAAAGCAAGGAATACTCCCAATACAGCATGAAACATAGAAAGCAAGAGAGGACCTTTTGGGCTTCTCCAGTGACTAAGGTCCTGCATTTGGGACATTTGTAAGGCCTTTATACCTCTTTTCATCCTTCTAAAAAATGTTGTCTGGCAAGATTTTAGCTTAACTTTTAGAGTTCCTAGTTGAACCAAGATTATTGGAGGAAGGCATTCAGCATATTGATTTTTTTTTGTACATTAGGTACAGGGACATTTATTTCTAATAGAGGAAATGGCTATGCTAACTACTGTAATGGCTTCCTTCACTATTGGGTGAATAGCAATAATAATTTGCTATTATGAGAGCCCACTAATTATGGCTTGAGCCTGATGAAGTGTAAAAAAGGTATAAAATGTAACTATACTTGAGTAGAGGATGTAAAATTGCATGATGTCTTGCTGTCATTGTGAGAATCTGTCTTGGAATTTCTTGTGGCTAGGCCAAGTCATAGTGGTTCACAGAGGTTGAGACATAGCAGTTAAGAGTCTACACAGGAACCATGCTGACTGGGCCTCATATAGCTTCCAATACTGTCAAGTCTGATGGACTGTAAGTACTTATCCCCTGTACGTTTCAGTCTTCTAATCTATAAAATGGGTATGATAATAATCCTCATAGGGTTATTATGAAGAGTAAGTATACTAATATGTGTAAAGCACTTGGAACCATTGTTAGCTACCAGATTTTTTGTTGTTGTTATATTTCTGACTGTCGGGTATCAGGGACTTAAAAGGCAAATCTTCTTGCTGTGTTGGTGGGAATGCAAATTGGTGCAGCCATTCTGCAAAACAGTGTGGAGGTTCCAAAAAAAGTTAAAAACAGACCTGCCCTATAATCCAGCAATGCACTACTAGGTGTTTATCCAAAGTATACAAAAATACTAATTCAAAGGGATACATGCACCCTCACGTTTATAGCAGCATTATCGATAATAGACAAACTATGGAAATAGCCCAAATGTCCATCTACTGATGAATGGATAAAGGAGATGTGGTGTATGTATATATATAATGGAATAACACTCAACCATCAAAAAGAGTGAAATCTTGCCATTTGCAAGATTTCCAATGATATGGATGAAGGTAGAGTGTATTGTGCTAAGTGAAATAAATCAGAGAAAGACAAAGGCCGTATGATTTCACTCATGTGTGGATTTTAAGAAACGAACAAATGAGAAAAGGGAAAAAGAAAGAGAAGAACAAACCAAGAAACAGACTCTTAACTATAGAGAGAAAACTGATGGTTACCAGAGAGGAAGTGGGTGTGGGGATCGGTTAATTAAATGATGGTGATTAAGAGGATACTTGTTGTGATGAGCACAGGGTAATATATGGAATTGTTGAATCACAGTACTGTACCCCTGGAGCTAATATAACACTGTATGTTAACCAACTGGAATTAAAATAAAAACTTAAAGAAAAATAACACACACATACAAAAATTAAAACATAGCCATACATAATATAACTTGGTTTCTATTTTGTTTTTACCGTGTCTGTAATAAATGAAAGATGTTAGTACAAGTATGAATGTCAATCTTAATTAAACACAGTTGCCAAAGAAATTGGATTTGATTACAGAATAAAATGGTTTGAAGGTATTACTCAAGCAAAATCTGCCCTTGTGTCACTTTGTCTCTAGGAGATAAAAAGCCATGGCTGGTGTGAGTGTAATGGTGTTTACAATTAATTGATCACAGCCAGTTACAGCTTTGGGGCACCTGAGTGGCTCAGTCAGTTGGGTGTTTGACTCTTGATTTCAGCTCAGGTCATGATCCCAGGGTCGTGGGATCGAGTCCCACCTCAGGCTCTGTGCTGACTGTGGAACCTACTTGAGATTTTCTCTCTCCCTTTCTCTCTCTGCTCCTCCCCTGCTCATGCTGTCTTTCTCAAAAGCCATAAATAAACATATAAAAGAAAAAAAGCCAGAGAAGCTTTTAGTCTTTCCCTAAAATGGTGTTCATAAACTTCTAGGAAGAACACCTTTTCTTTAATTTATACTTTAATTCAGTGGAACTTTATCAGACTGAAATTAACCAAACCCCAGAGAGACCTGGAAACATGAATGATTATCAAATGTTATGGATTCTAAATGGGAAATTCTGGAAAACAAAGATGAAGGCTAATAATTTATGTTCAGTATTTAGCTATGACATTCCCATGGGGGGAAAAAAAAGACAGCTAGCTTGAATCAAATAATGGGATTTGTTTCTCAGATAATAGTATGAGTTAAAAGAAATAACTTATAATAGGTTTATTAAATTAAGCAATAAGGTTTCATTTCTTTGAAATCATCTATTGTCAAAATTTTTGTAGCTAACTTCACTTACAATGAAATTAAATTAAATGAAGAAACTTAAATTTCTTTTAAGTTCGACATGGGTTTTCTCCATTTTGGTAGGAGTTGAAAATACTGGGTCAGTGGATCTGGCTATGATCAGCCTCTTAATCCTGTTTTAATTATGGGTTCTTTGCTACTTCTGATTTTATAGTTGTTATTTGGTGACTGACATTCAGACATCCACAGCAATTTTTACAATATGCAGTTTTACATAAGGGTCCCTCAAAGTGACCCTAAGATGAGAGTTCCTAGACATAATTACAGACAGGAAGAACTACCGACCTAGAATGAGTTGAAAGGTTTCCAGGGCTATCTTATTTTCAAATTTTCCAGTTAAACACTGTGGCCCAATCTCACATTTCTGCCAGCTGGAGAGGGACGCAGGAGGGGCACCCGCAGAGGTTATCCTGTGGACAGCACTTTTCTGTTCTCACTCCTGTATATTTGAAAACATCAGGGGCCAAATATGATTAACCTTATGCTTCTCCCTGGATACTTGAACCCCAAGTGTGGCTGTTACAGCCATGTATCTGTATTTTTTTGTTGTTTTTTGCGAATAGTTGTGCTCGTGGCCAAGTGTCATTTGGCAAAGAGCACACAAATATTTGTTGTGCATTATTGTTTTTGTTTGAGTTCAAAAACTGATTGCCACTAAGTTATACTACCCAGAGAAGCAAGCCTGAGGCATGAGTTGGACAAAGTGAAATGTAATTTAGTGATACTCATTATAAATCATATTTCCCTAACTTTAAGATAATATTTTTTCAGTGCTCTGTATCCAGTTGACAATCTTGATCAATAACACTGCTTCCATGTGAAAGATGTGTTTTAAATTATACAAGCCAAATATTGTCCTCAAATGTGAGCATATTTCTACACCAAGATCTGTTTCTTCATCTGCAAAATGAAGTTATTGGGATCACATGATCTCTGAGGTGTTTTCTGGTACTGAAGTTCCCGTACGTAATATCCAGCCTCTTTAATGAATATATCCTGCTGAATTTCCAAACACTTATGGGGCGTTTCAAGTGCCATGACTCCACCTCGCCAAAGGATCCTCTTAGTTGATGATCAGCAAATTTGACTCCCAAGGACGTTTCTCAATCCCGAGGACGTGGTGGTGGTGGCCCGTTATAGAGAGAAGAGACCAGCCTGCTAGAGGTCCAGTCATCTTGTTGCGTCAGTGCTTGGCCATTTGTGTGTAAACACTAATCTGCTTTCTCCCCTTCACTCTTTCCATGTGCACTTCAACAGAAAGGAGAGCCTGACTGCTACCCACTCTCCCTGGAAACAACTGAGCAACTCACCTTCGAGATCCCCCTGAATGATTCAGGTTCTGCTGGTCTTGGCGTGAGCTTGAAAGGGAACAAATCTCGAGAAACTGGAACAGACTTGGGGATTTTTATCAAATCCATCATCCACGGAGGTGCTGCTTTTAAGGTCGGTAGGAATGATGTTTGCACGTCCATGTAAAGGCACTTGAGATGTGGGTATTTGTTTGGGAACTGGATAGAGAGGGTGTCTGAAGACATGAGACCACGAGGCTCTCCTGCAGGTGCAGCAAGTGTATGCGTGAATAGATCTGGGCAACAACTGTCTGTTCATATTCTCTCTGGGGTTAGTTTTATATCCTGGACATCGTTCTCTAAAGCCATCATGATTAATATTCTTTCTCCCATTTCTTTTATTACCATTAGGATTCCTCTGAATGTGTTACCTGACAGAGTTAGGTGACCTAAAATACACAATCATAAAAACAACACTAAAAACAAGTCAACAGGAAGGCAGCAAATAAGGAAATTGTTCTTGCAAGAAGGAAAGCTCAGTGGAACCTCAGCATGATTGTAGTATAAATTAAAGGGCATTGATCACATGATATACACTTGAAGATGGCCAGGGTGCCAGGAATGCATGTTGGCCTTTGAACTTGGAAAAGCTTCCAGATTTGCAGAAAAAAAAAAAGGAAAGGAAAGAACATGATCCTTCCTTTGCCCATTGGGGGAGCAGTGTGATCATTGCTATTAACATAGTGTAATAGTTAACTACATCGCCTGGGTTCAAACACAGCTTCATCATCATGTCCCCCAATTCGCACATCACTGCTAGCCATGTGGGAATGTGGGCAAGGAGCGTGACCTGCAGGGCTCCCCTTTCTTCATCTCTGGAGCGGGACTATGGGCAATACCTAATTCAGCGATTCTAAGGATTAGATTAACACACACTGTGATTGCAGGGGTGAAGTGGTTATTGAGTGGGGGAAACATGTCTGTGCTTATCACCAGCTGTCCTCCCCACCACCATCATCTCATACCATGTCATGAGGCTTCTTGAGTTTGAATCCTGCCCGGACTACTCTCACCCTCTGTCAATGTGGGCAAGCTACTTGTCTCAGTATGCCTCAGTGTCCTCATTTGTAAAAGGAGTAAAACTAATAGACCCTACCTCCTGGTGCTTCTAGAAGGACCAAGAGAGTTATTTTATGCATACTGCCTAGCACGGTGCCCATGATAAACTTTCAACAAATGTTAGCCATTTAAAAATTCTCTTGATGTTAGTAACATGATCTCCCCTAAATAAAAGCCAAGAAGATCTATGCAAAGTTTCCAGGAGCATCTCTAGTCCTAGAATCCTGGCTTTGGTGAAGCATTTGTCTTTTCTTACTTCTCATCCCACTTTTGTTTCAGACCTAGACACTGAGCTAATGCTGTTTTCCTTGGGAAATAAATTCACTGTGGGTAGACAACTTTTTAATGTACTCTTTGGATCAGTAGGGGTTTTTTTTGCATACTAAATAATGACAGAATTTCAGTAACATACATCAATAAGTAACATCCATCAACAACATACATCAATTTGTGCCCCTCACAGCTCTGCAGGACAGCTGGAGGGGCTTCGATTCAGATTCAGACTGGTACATCTCTGTCACAGGTCTGAGTGGGCTCCTCGTATTTCAGTTCTCGGGCCAGCAGGCTAGGGGGAGCATATTCTTCTAATGCTCTGAGGCGTCAGAGGGCCAGCAGCAAAGAGTGAAGCCTTTGAAATTCTGGGCACTGATCCGGCAGTTACTCCACTCACACACATACACACGAGGTGCACACATGTGCCTCTGACCAAAGCAGCAATAGAGGTGAATCCAAGGCCAAGGGGTAGAGAAACACAGTCCACCCATGGTGAGGCTGTGGCAAAGACGTGAGTACAGAGAAAGGTGAGAAATTGGGGTCAGTCGTTCAGTCCATCACACTCTCCAGTCTGGCTCAGATATGCAGATCCAGGAGCAAAAGGAAAATAACAGTAACATTAACAGCAGCAGCAGTTCCCATTCATCGTGCTTAGTGCTTACTGTATGCTGGATACATATATTCTTCCTATTTACCCCGAGTTATTAGCATGCCATTCCATCATAGGGAAACTGCAGTGGTTAGTGCCTCTCCCATGGCCACACACCCAGGAATTGCTTAAACTAAGATTGGAACTCAGGCAGTCTGACTTCAGATCCTGTGCTACGTTACGGTGCCGTGAAGCCTCCTTCAGCTCTTCCATCCATATTCCTAGAGATCAAGGGCCATTGCCGTGGGGTTGTCTGGTGTTATGCTTGTCATCCTTAGCCAAGCCATCTAAACACGTGCTGTGTTTAAAGACTAAGTCTTGGTCATGTTTGTGGATACGAGATTGATCTTCTTCTTCTTAGACCTAATGACAGTTCTATTTGCAGAATCTATTCCAAGTAAAATTGGAACTGAAATGAATTTTTGGAAATTAAAAGCAAACATCTTAGCTCTTTTATGGGCAATAACTTAAGCTCAAGCAGATACTGGAGAGCAGGTTTAATATGTATATCCATGTTTGCGTAAGTGAGCATCTCCTTACCTAAGCAGTTTCTAACAGTCCTGTTTCTTGCAGAAAGATTTCACTTTCCATTTATGTAAATTTCTTTCCTGACACTGGTCTGCTGAGTCAGACAATCACACCACTAAAAACCACTGGACAGCATATTTATAGCTGATTTTAAACAGTAAGAGGCATCAATCATGAATTTAGCCTTATTGTGAATGTTTAGTATCCATTTGTCTTGTTTACTTTTTGCAGTGTAAAGGGTAGAGGACTAAGCTTTGCTCACAAGACATCTGCTTAACCAGAAAAAGAGGGAGAAAGTATTTTTCTATCTTCTTCTGCTCTTCCAATAATCCACTGTTATTCCTCAGAAAATTGCCACCTGTTCTGTGATTCAGGATTATGTCTTACAAAAATTGTTTTGAGACTTTGTTCCTGTCCCTGTTCAGAAGATACAAATGTAACAGACTGCAGTGTCCCTGGGGCAAAGGGGAGATAAGCATGGGGAACATCTACTTTAGCATCTGGCCCTAGGTTTTTACCTGAAATCAACAAAATAATCTTTCTGCCAGAGCACAATCTTTTTCTCCTGGCCCTTCATACCACTAATTGGTTCTCAAGGTGTTTTTCCCTTTAGGGAAGGTGGATTTTTGAAAACTAAACTACTTTGAAAAGTATGACCAAATTCTTCCTGTGGATTCTGTATGCTGTATTCTCCTGGGGGTTTCCGTTGGTGTAAACAAAGATAGGCTACTTCTTGCCAGATGCAAAACCACGGAACGACGGTGACTGTAATCGAGGGCCTCCCTCTTTTTTCTTTCTTTTTTTCCTTTTTTAACTTACCTCTCAGGCTACTGATTTCTATCCTCTCCTCTCTTATTTGAGGAAGTAAATGTCTTTGGAGATGTAAATCTCTGTTGGAAAATAAGAGTATCTGGCTACTTTAGGATTCTCTCTTGGAAGTGAATTTCTGTCACTCTAAGGGCACACTGAACAATATTTTAACTCTATTCAGAGTTACTCAAATGCTTAATCTCATTAATATTTAAATTCCAGTCTGCATATCAAGAAGTAAATCCTAGAAACTCTTCTTCTCCACTTGTGTCAGGACACAGCATTTGCTTCAGGCCAGGGAGTCCTTTGTGGACCCTTCTGAAGCATCACTTTTAGCTGCGCCTTTCACCATCCAAAGTGACCATTGACCTTCATAGCCACATACGACTGAGTATTAACGCTAATATGCTTCAACGGTAACAGACATTGCCTATTGGTAGTTTCCTTGTAGTGTCTGTCCTTCTTACTGGGCATTTGTCCCTGAAGTACAGTGTAATTGCTTCCAGAACCAAAATATACTGCGTATAAGTTTATGAGTTAACTTCTTATGAACCATGAACTGAGCGGAATTGTGATGTTCATGACGACGCTTCTCTAAAATTTTAGGCTTGTGATTGGAATTTATAGTGAATGTGATGGTATAGTTACTGGTAAGTGAAAAGAAAGGAGTAATGTCTTTGTTGCAGTTAGAAAAAAAGGTACCTTGAGAAAAATACTCTCCTTTCTCCAAATCCACATAAAAAAACTAGCTTTTCCTTCCCTCCAGTAAAGCACACATAAAGTCTTGATAATCAGTTTGAAGACATTCAGTATTCTCATCCTCATTTGCTAAACATTCTGAGATCAGTGGCTTTCTTTCACTTTGCTTTTCGTAAACTATATTAACTGAATTTTTGAGGAGAAAATGCTTTTTTTGCAACTATTGATTATAGTAATTTAAGTTGCTTATTTCTCTTATTTTTCTACCTTAAAAATGAATTGCTTTTAGGAAAAATAGATGACTAGGATAGTGATATTTTAAAACAATCAAGATAGAATATTAGTATGCTGTAGTAAGAATAAAATTCTCATGGAATCTATTGTATTAATTCTGAATGACATTTTTTTATTTAAATATATAGACTTTGGGAGTAGGATATGTCCTATGAAACCTTGAAATAATAAGGTAAAAATTGAAATTTAAAGGCAGTTTTTGCTAAGGGAAAAAATGTCACATATCAGATTATTTAAGGTCTCTTAAATAGGGAGAATGAATATAAGAATACCTGTTATTCTCTAGAAAATTAATTAGCCAGGTTTGTGCTTAATAAATACTACTTGATGATGATGAAATTAAATGAAAGAAAAATGCCTGACATAGCTAATTGCAAATGCATGCACGCAGAATATGAAATAGCCATAATTTAAGTAATTTGATTCTGGCGTGCTTAGGAAATTTGGAATGCTCCCTCTGAGAAATGCAGAATTTCATGATCTACACTGTTTAGTATGAAGTATAAGAAAAATTTTTTTTTTTGCTAATACAAGCAATCCCCCTATTTTAAAAGGACTAAAATGTTAATTTTTAGAGAGAATATACACAGTTGTAGAATTTCCGGGAACACAGTGCTTGTTCCTCAATCTTCACGTTTCTTCATAATATGGAACATTTAACAGCATCCAAGCTACTCAACAGGAGGCCGCTAGAAGTTCCCAGCATGAGTCATTTCCAACTCCATCTCTATTGGTATCTATAAATCATGTGGTGGATCTATAATTAATGAATTCAAAGGAAG